AAGGGAAGACAGAGCCCAGAAGGTTCAAAGACTCAAAGACTCTGAAGCGTTGGACAGATCTGGCCTCTAAAAGTTGCTTACGTGGGACCCTTCTCTATGTCATTTCTCACCTTTGCTTTAGTTTCTGAACAAATCCAGTGATGGAAGCTTCAAAAGACACCTAGGAGTTTGGGACCATTCTAAATGACACCATATTTTTTCTCTTTAATACGCTTTCGAGGTGATCTGTGCTATCCCCTAAATATTAGTTTATTTTCTCCCCATGAAGCACTTTCCAGTGTTTGTAAATAGCTGCCACTTCCTTCCAAATATTTTCTCTGCTGATAAATACCTGGGTTGTTTTTCAAATTCAATTTAACCTTTCACCAATCCTGCCTCTATTCTGAATATAGATCCTAGTTTGTGAATATCTCCCATGAAATGCAGGCCTTGGGATAAACACCTTCCAGGAGTAAGAACTCAGCACCCCACAGAGCAGCTAGGGAAGGGAAGTTTCACTCCCTAAATATCACCAGTTTGCAATCCAACCTAAAATCCACGTTGAGCTACGGCCAACGAAAGTCCATGTGCCTTTTTCTTATGAATGGCTACTTTATTTCTTGCTCCATTATTTCTTGTCTGGTCTATTTATTTGTGGCTTAAATATAGGACGTTCGCATTGATCTTTCTTAAATGCTATCTTTTTTGTTTAGGCTCTTGCTCCCGGCCTATTACTATCTCTCAGCTCACAATCTCGCAATCAATACCTCGGCCATCTTCCCTAGCTTTCTCTTAGAAGCATATTTGAAAAGCCTAATTCCTCTGTTTACATCAAATTCTTAGAGACAGATGAGGAAAATCAGAGTTTTGTCGCAGATGTTCCGCGTTTCCATCAGTGATGGGTAATGAGCAAACCGCAGGGCTCACTGTCGGGAATCACAGATCTTAAGCTGTCTTAAGATCTCTTGGTATCTTGGTTTCTAGAATCTACTTTTTAAAAACCTTTTTTAACGAGCTATTTGCCCATCTCCAGTCTTAGGTATCTCTCACGTTCGCCACGATTCTTTGAAAGTGGCAAACACCGATCTTACGATCACATCGAAAGTCCTTCCATGGACAGCAGGATGTGGGAAGTCTGGTTTGGAAATGTGATCTCATTCAAGTATTTATTCCAAGTTTCCAAGGTCAGTCTAGGATTCTGCACTTCGAAGATAATTCTTCTTGATGGATGTCTAAACTGGCTCGGGGGCCTTTACCGGCTCTCTCCTCGCATGGAACAGCTCTCTCTCCACCCAAGGGCTGGGCCTGGCACCTGGCCCTCCTTCCTGGTTATATCTGCCTCTGGACAACAGCCAGACTCCAGAAGTCCTTGATCAGATGGTTCAGTTTTCTCTCCTTCCTTTTTTAATCTCACACCACCTTATCCAAGCATTAGGGCTGTTTCTTCACGTGGTCTTCTTGCTTCAAATACAACTGGCTCAAAAGCCAGTCTTGTTATTCTTGGCATTTTTCATGTTCATTGTTCTCAAGTACTAACATTCTGTCTCAATTCACATGGACAGTTTAAGAGCAGATTTACCATACATTCCGACATATGGCTCTTTTCGGAAGCCCTGTTCCCTCCCCTCTCCTCCTATGTCCTTGCTGGAGTATCTCCTGGCTATGTTAGAGCAGTTAGTGTGGGCCTCATAAGAAGGGAGCATCTTCTCCCAGCCAGGTCACTGCATCCTTATCAAAAGTGCGTGTCAAAACTCCCCTGACAACCTCTTCACGCTCCCATCCCTGGACGCTTCTGCACCACTCTGACGGGGAATAATTCCTAACTCTGCCGGCTTAGTTAGAACACAAATAATAGTTTTCATTCCGGCAATCTCGTGCCTACTCTTCCCGTCCACTCCTATCCGACACTCGCATACATTAGCATCGGCAGTTATGGTTACTTGGGCTTAAGGGTAGTTTCGATTTTTTTTATTGAAAATGGTAGCCCTAAGGAGAGGTCTAGGTGGCCGAGGAGTTACAGGTGAAATATGGATTGGAAGGCAAAAACGATGTCTGTTAACTTCAGCTTATTCTTACCCAATGTAATATTTTATTCTATTTGCTTTTTAAAGAAAATGCAGTGAATAGTGTGGTTTTTAGAATTTGTGGTTCTGCTCCCTTTTATTTCAAATATAGGGAGCACCAGGTACTCCAGGTCTGCCGGGGCTCAGAGGTGATTCTGGATTCCAAGGATTTCCTGGCATGAAAGGTACTATTTTTGTGCACTACTTTTTGGATGTAAATATAATGACTGAGGTTCATATTTTAGGGCACACAAATGTTTACTCAACTCTCACAGTCACCGCAGACAGTTGGGGTTACTACAAATAGGGCCTCAGTACAAGTGAAGAAGAAAGACCCCACCAGCACCCAACCCCAGGGATCTTAAAAATTAAAACCACACCCTAAAGATGGACTCTATAGAAAAACTAAATAGAAACAGCTTAAAGTGGTTACCTTTGAGAGTTCTGATGTGTGTGGTTTGGGGGATGGGAGCTATATTAATATCAACAGTATTGCTTTGAATTGTTTACCTTGTGCATGTTGCAATTTTTAAAAGCTGAAAACCTAAAACAATATTCACCAAACTGTTTAATGGAGGAAGGTAAGTAATTTTTTAGATGCAGTTTTAAGCATTTTTATGGCACACATGTATTATGTTTTTATCCGGGAAAAAAAAAACATGCTTTGGAGAGTTTTAATTTTAAAAATATTCATACACATACACTTCAGATTTCAGAAAAAAATGTTCAAATCTTTCCTAAGAGTGCTGTGACCTTAATTAAGGTTTTGAATATTGAATTTGTTGTCTGTACTGTTTAAATCCTCTGGTGTTGTTTATTGTATGGCAGGGAATTTATTACAGACTATAAGATGCTAAGTAATAAGTGTAACCAAAGTGAACAAAGCCGCATTTTCACAAAGGAAGACTTTTCCCAGGTCTATGAGAGGATGAAGTGGAGTTCAAAGAAAGCCTTTTTAATGCTTTCAACCATTGACTCTGCAAGGAACAAATTAGCTGAGAATAAATCAAAGTGAGACTCACGAGACACCGAGCAGGTGAATACTGGCAAGCAGCCTGGGAAAAACGTGTGTGCCACATGTTACTCCCTAAGTCTCACAGTAGAAATATCTCAGATTTGAAAAATTATATAAAGGCCTGACTAAAGAAAAGCATTCTAGAACAATATTTAGAGGTATTTAGAGGGGCGAGTCATAAAATCAGTTCTTTTGAAATACGTTCCTTAAAATATTCAACTACACTTAGATTTCAGAATAAGCCCATCTATCAGCTGGTACTACTAATGGGTTTGTACTTTTTTATTTAGTAATTTTTAATCCCCAAAGGAAAAAATATTTAGTCTTCTTCTGGTATGTATATATATTAACACCTTCCTCAAGTCTGATATCAAGTGGATAATTTATAGTGCCAATTAACTTTTGTTAATATATTTGTTTTTTTGTATTTCCTCTATGAATGTCATATTTAGTATTAAAGTCTTCCTAAGTAATCAGATGTAACGTCTACATTATTTCAAGATTTTTATAAGAGAGTATTTCTCTAAATCAATGGTTCTTAGTAACCTTGTATTCATCTCAAAGACTGCGAGAAAAATCTTACTACTTTGATAGTTCATATCAAAATAGATATTCTATATAGTCGCTATGGACAACAGTCTGGAGTTTCTCAAAAGATTAAAAATGAATCTATCTTTTGACCCAGCAATTGCACTTCTGGGTATTTATCCAAAGAAAACCAAAACAATAATTCGTAAAGATATATGTACTCCTATATTCATGGCAGCACAACTTACAATAGCCAAGATATGGAAGCAACCTAAATGCCCATCACCAGATGATTGGATAAAGAAGTTATGGTTCATATATGCAATGGACTATTACTCAGCCATTAAAAAAAAATGAAATCCTACCATTTGCAATGACATGGATGGACCTAGAGGTTATTATGCTGAGTGAAATAAATCAGACAGAAAAAGATAAATACCATATGATTTCACTTATATGTGGAAACTAAGGAACAAAAAGAACAACTAGTCAAAAACTAACTCACAAATATAAAGGACAATCTGGTGACGGCCAGAGGGGAGGGGATTTGGGGGACTGGGAGAATGGAGTGAAGGGTTAAAGAAGTACAAATTAGTAGTTGTCATGGGGATGGGGAGCACGGCAGAGGGAATGCAGTCAGCATTAATGTAATGGCTACGTGAAGAGCCAGAGGAGAGAAAGAGCGATCCGGGGAATCGTTTGGGCTAGGTGGAGAGCCAGAGGAGAGAAAGAGCAATCCGGGGGATTTATACAGTTTGTAAACTGTATAAATATCTAACCAATGTACTGTATACTCGAAACTAATAAAAAAATACAAAAAAATAGATATTCTATATGTGCTCATGAGAGTCCCTAACATAACTCTCAACTATTAATAAAACTAAAGTAAGAAGTTGAAAAAATAGATAACTATGACAACTAATGTAACCCTCCAGGAAGTACTAAAATAGGTTTTAATGTCACTTCATATTTCACCCTAAATATTGAGTTGGTTTCTAAACTTAAATGATAAACCCTTAGGAACTCTTCCTCTTTAATGCTAAAATACAATTTCTTAATGCCTACTTGTAGACTGCATTTTTAATAGACGTTAAACATGACCAGTGGTCTCCAAATGAAATGCCAAAAGCCACATGAATATAATTAAGTCGTAGGCTGCCACAGAGTTCATAACCTCATCATAACTTCCAGCATCTATCCTTAGAGTTGATCACCGACCTGAAGAGCTAGAAAACCCATTGTTCCAAGGGGAATCACATTGCCTTTCTTTTTCTTTTTTCTTTCTTTTTCTCTCTCTCTTATTTTCTTAGGAGAAAAGGGTGACCCAGGATTTCTGGGATCAGTTGGACCTCCAGGGCAAACTGGGCCAGAAGGACCACCAGGTAAATGTTATTTCCTCAGTACTGCTCTCCATGAAGGAAAAGTAACCCATCAGTGAAGCCATCATCTCCTTATGTTCGTGTCAATAGGTCCACGTGGAGACCCCGGCACGGTTCAGATCATCTCCCTTCCAGGAAGCCCAGGGCCGCCAGGCCAACCTGGAGAACCAGGGATGCAAGGAGAACCTGGGCCACCAGGGCCACCGGGAACCCCAGGTGTGGGACTGGCAGCATTGACTTGGATCACTAGGAAGTGCCTGAGCCATCAAATGATATGACTTCACAGAAAATGTTTCACATTATAGTGTTTTTACAATCAGTTTTAGAAATGAGCTCATTTTACACTTGACCAGCACATAAAAGACCTTTTGAATCTATTGAAAGCTGTTGTGCGTAGTATAAACTTGAACAGATACAATTTAGGGCACTTGTGGGGCTCTTTTTATTGAGGTAAAAGTATTATGTCTCTCTTCTCTGACGACTGTTAGTCTTAGAGCTCTATTTCTAATCGATTGCCTGAATAAACCTGACTTCTATGTATTTATTCTTTTCTAACACTTTGTACAGCATTCTTATGAAATCTTCTCAAAATATTGGTGTATGAAAATTGAACTTATATAGGTTTAGCATATTTTTTATAGATTTTTGAGTGAAATTGTTATGTTCTAAGTTTGCATGGATCAGCTGGGAGATGGGAGGTATTTTGATCGACACAAGGGCATAGTGAATTCTGGGATAGCATCAATCAAAATGGTAGCACAATTTTAAAATGCTATATGTCATTTACTCCTAGTTTATTTTTGAGGGTCTTTTTCCCCCTGGCATGTAGGATGTAACAAGTGAGACTGAGGGTCTACTCAGTTTGCAAAACTTTCATTGCTGAAACTGGAGAAGTCTCAGGTAAACTGGGATGACAGACCACCATATCTTTTATCCTATACGAACCATTTAATACAAGTTTCATTTGTTTGTTTGTTTGTTTGTTCGTTTGCATAGGACCCTGTGGGCCAAGAGGTAAACCAGGCAAGGATGGAAAACCAGGAACTCCTGGACCACCTGGAGAAAAAGGCAACAAAGGCTGTAAAGGAGAACAAGGTAAACAAGCACTTGGCTTCTCTCCTGCACTGAAGGAGTGATGTCTCAATAGACAGAGAAGTCTTATTTGAATATATGACAAGAATAATCTAGGTCTTTCAGTTTGTGTGGTTCAGATTAGACTGAAAACCAGCGGAAAAACATTTGTTTAGAAGAAGATAAAAAATCAAGTTATTGGAATACAGCATTCTTATTATCTCCCATCTGGGCAGATATACTTCATATTTTTAGCCTGAGAACAAATAGACCTAATGAAGCACTAACACTATTTTCAGAAAAGCCAGCACTGCTTTTAATGATCTATAGCAGTACTTGGTTAATAATATCTACTTATAGGAGTGGTATATAAGTACATAGAAAAGTATTAACTTTGGTATGAATAGAAGAATAACGCAGTGTCCTTACTTAGGAAAGCCATCTTTTAACTGTGCCATTCTTGAATACAGCTCAACAACTTGTCTATACCCTGAAAAAAAAAGGCCTCTGAAATATTTTACTCTGAACATTAGCTATATATCCATCTGAACCAAAATCTACCTTTTGCAAAAGTTTCAAAAGCAACTTCTAGAAAATACCTAATCTTATTTAAGATTGCTGACTTTGTTAAAATAAGAAAAATTCTAAATGTTGTTTCCCAGTTTGCTGACATATGCCCAGATCTACTATAATAAAACTGTAAAGTCCAGAGATTTAAATCTTAAAAAATTCAAAGATAATACAAATATTAATTAAATTAATTACATAATCACTCATAATTTAGTATTGTTATGAGTATACTTTAGAGCACTATTAATGATTTCACTTTCTTTCAAATGTGTTTTTCAAAGTGGTAAAAAAAAAGTCTTATTAATAATTCTATTAATTCTATTAATTAAAAAATCTTTACTGACCAAGTCAGGATTTCAGAGTGGGGCTACATCCAGAGCAAGGGTACTAAAATACAAATTGAATTGAGAATGGTGAGCAAGTAGAACAGTTATTCCCGTTAGTAGTAATGCTATAAAGGCCTCATAGAAATGAGAAAGGGACCAAAGAGCTAACAGCACTGGTGTAAACTGAGAGCCTCAGGTCTTTCTTGGAAATGCAGAATATCCTGTGATCATGCACATTTGCATAACGGCTCACCTCCAGTTTTCCTTATGCTTAGCCAATCGCTTTACAATTCCTGTGCTAGTGGTGAAGGCATCTTCTGCATGGAGCCAGTTACAGCCCCCTGCGAAGGAGGGTAGATATTAGGAGCAGTGAAGACACATTCTCTCTCTGATATATTAAAATATGGCAATTTTGGACTTTTCAAGTAAGACCTGAGACTTTCAAGAATTTGGATATGGCCTATTTTTAATTTCAAAAAATGAGTCAAAGATCCAGAAGATAAGAATGGGTGGGGAGACCGAAAAGCTCCATATGTAATATGGGGTTTAACAAATTCTTGTGAAAAGCAGTGACTTCCAGGTTGAGACTCAACTAGGGCACTGCCTGACTCAATAGCATGGTTATTTACAGGTGACAATACCTCCCTTGATTCGGTAGGCCAAAAATCCACAGTCTCTGCCTTCTCTGCATTTCCTTAGGACCCTAAAGGACCATAACCCAAATCAGATTGGCATGGGGGTCAGGGTGCAGGGGGTGGCAGCAGAAATGAATCATGGGTAAAGGGGGTGGTAGCCCACGTCAATATCATAAATTATATGTATTTAATGAAGAATAGGAATAAGTAGAAAAAAGATATCACTGGTCCTTATTTAGAAAGTGACACATGTATATTAATCAGCATACTTCGAGTGCAGAGCAAAAAAAGTAAAAAAATTATTTACTTTGGTTTAACTCATATAAACTAACTCTTATCAAAGTTTTATAACAGTCTTCTGTTCTTGTTTGCCTTACTAGTTGATCAAAAACTTTCTTGAAGTTTGCACTTTCAAGAGGAACTTTCAATGTTTTCCATGTTTATTGAATTTATGAAAAGTACATGTAATTTTTTATCTTCTTGAATAGATTTTCAAATTGTTGATACTTGATTTCTTGATCTCCACACTGTTGGAGGACACATTCATTTAATCATAAAAGATGGACATAAGACCTACCACATAAAGATCACTGTGCTAGGCAGCACAGGGAAAGACAAAGACCCGATCTCAAAAAACTCATTATGAGACATACACAAATATCTATAATAATGGGCATTGTGTGATATTAGTCAACATTTAATAATGCTGTTCGGCCATTTCATAAGCAACTATGCTTTATGACTGCTTTCTATATTTGAGGCTCAGATATATATAAACATTTAAATTAGTACTTTAGAACGTCTGTGTTGCATCACGTATGACGTGTTTCTTAAAGGACCACCTGGATTCGATGGACTGCCAGGTTTGAAGGGGAAACCTGGAGACACCGGACCACCTGCAACCAGGACAGCGCTGAGAGGCTTCATTTTCACCCGGCATAGTCAGACCACAGCAATTCCTTCCTGTCCAGAAGGGACAGAGCCACTGTACAGTGGGTTTTCTCTTCTTTTTGTACAAGGAAATGAACGAGCCCATGGACAAGACCTGGGTAATGTCCCATGTAGATTGTAATGTTCCACACAGATCGTAAATTTTATGGCATGGGGTACTGCTCTCTGAAGTATAAACAACCTTGGGCATCTTACAGCACTTCTTAAAGAGAGTAAATAAAACATTGGCCTCATGCCTATTATGGAATATAAAGCTCTTTTTAATTAGAGTTGATGTACAATTTTATTACATCAGGTGTACACGTAGTGACTTGACGTTTATATACCTTATAAAGTGATCACAAGTTGTCTCGTAACTATTTGTCACTGTACAAAGTTTCTGTGATATTGACTGTATTTCTTGTGCTTACATTACAGCCCCATGACTTATTTATAAGTTTGTACCTCTTCACTTTTTCTGCACATTCCACTCACCGCCCAAACCTCTGTCAACTATCAGTTTTTTCTCTGTATCTGAGTCCATCTTGTTTTGTTTGTTCATTTGTTTAGTGTTTTAGATCCCATATACAAGTGAAATAATACAGTATTTGTCTTTCTATGACTTATTTCACTTAGCATAATACCCTTGGTCCAGTCATGTTCTCACAAAGGCAAGATATTATTCTTTTTATGGCTGAGTAATATTCCTTTGTGTATATATGCCACACTTCCTTTATCTATTCATCCATCAATGGGCACCTAGGTTGCTTCCACATCATGGCTACTGTAAATAATGCTGCAATGAACATAGGGGTGCATATACTTTTTTAATTAGTTTTTTTTTCATTTTCATAGGATAAATGCTCAGAACTGGAATTACTGGGTCACATGGTAGTTATATTTTTAATTTTTTGAGGAAACTCCATATTGTTTTCCATAATGACTACACCAATTTACAATCCCACCAACAGTGCACGAGAGTTCTCTTTTCTCCACATCCTCAACAACACTTGTTTCTCGTCTTTTTGATAACAGCCATTCTAACACGTGTGAGGTGATATCTCATTGTGCTTTTTACCTCGATTTCCCTGATGAGTAAAGTTGAGCGCCTTTTCATGTGTCTGTTCACCATCTGCATATGTTCTTTGGAGGAATGTCTATTCAAGTCTTTTGCCCATTTTTAAATTGGATTCTTTTGTTGATGTTGAGTTGTATAAGTTCTTTATATAATTATTAATCCTTATCAGATATATCATTTGCAAATACCTTCCCCCATTCAACAGGCTGCCTTTTTGTTTTGTCAATGATTTCCTTTACTGTGCAAAAGCTTTCTGGTCTAAGGGAGTTTTATTTGTTTATTTTGTTGCTCTTGCCAGAGGAGATATATCCAAAAGTGTATTTCTAAGACTGTTATCAAAGATTTTACTGCCTATGTTTTCTTCTAGGAGTTTTATGGTTTCAGGTCTTACTTTTAAGTCTTTAAACCCACTTTAAGTTTATTTTTGTAAATGGTGTAAGAAAGTGGTCTGATTTTCTTTTGCATGTAGCAGTCTAGTATTTTTAACACCATTTATTGAAGACTTTTCCCTATTGTATATTCTTGTCTTTGTTTTAAATTTGATTGATTGTATAAGTGTGGGTTCATTTCCAGGCTCTCTCTTCTGTTCTATTGATCTATGTATGTTTTTGTGCCAGTACCATACTGTTTTGATTACTATAGCTTTGTAGCATAGTTTAAAATCAGGGAGAGTGAGGTCTCCAACTTCAGTTTCATTTATT